GCAGCCAGAAGAACCCCTTAAGGCTTAAAAAGTCCTTCACATCTATGGTTAAATATGCTCTAAAACTTACGAAAAAAAAATTAATCAAAAGATGTCTAATCAATAATGAGATATATGAAATGCGTAATCGATGCAATCAACAATATCAAAAATGAGATTTATCTGCGTTCAAAAACAGAATGGAAACTTATAAAAAGTAGTAGCCAGTGCCATTAAATGCGTAAAAAGTGGAAAAATTAAAAGTATGAAAAATAAGTGTATTTGAGAAATTTCATTATTGAGTATGAGACTTTTTAAATATCCTAAGGGTTCTGGGCTTGATTAAGCCACTGCCCAAACAGCAGCTCTTGTGATTTAACGGTGACTGAGCAAATCATCCTCAGACTCTTCCCGTACAGTACCCTTTGAGACACATCACCAGCATTAGTACGGTATTGGGCAAGAGTAGAGTAAGCTTTCCGCCACGAGTGGATCAGAGTTGCCTTTTGGGCTCTAGCTTAGTTAAGGCCCTTCATTTATGGATATCAGAGATCATTCCCCACATCCTTGACATTAATTTGGATGCAAGCAGTTTTGGAGTAGTTAAAATAATTATTCTAGGAGAGACTAAGAATATGTACATTGGATGTTACAATATATTGAATTCTGTTTTCATTATTACTGAAAAGCAACACTATATCTGAATAATTTTGTATGTTGGTCCTGCATAAGTAGAAACCAAAAATCAACTTAGAAAGCTTCAAAAAATATTTCAAAGAACTTTAAGGAAAGAAATTTAACAATTAGGGAATTTTCCTGAAATGCTAACCTGAATGCATAAATCTCCACAAGCCACCACTGAGCACTGTAGCTGAGGTTCATTCAAACCGCTAAACACGGACGAGTTTAGCTTAGCCGTGTAAATAGTTCCTCGTTCAGCTAATTTTCTCAAAAATGGCGTGATAGAAGATGTGGACGTACAGCCACCCTGACAATGGGAGATTGGATTACTTTAGCATACATACTGTAGTATGGTACCTTACCTCATCAGTAAGTTGGATTATTTTGACATCGTTATTCTGCTCTGAAACGATCTGACACAGAGTTGGGACAGCATAACGAGCTGCCACTAGGAGTACGTTTCTTTCCAAGATGTCGACATTAAGAAAACCTTCCGAGGCCGGGGATATCTGGATGTCCATACTGTTTAGGTGGTTTGGAGAAAGCCTGGAAGCAAAAAATTGGAATGAGATATACTCAGACAACTTGCCAGAACTTTCGCAGCACTTTCGCAGCATTTGCGCAGAAAGAAAGTGAAGAAAGTGCTGCGGAACCGCTGCAAATTCGCTTGTCCCGCGGAAGTTCCGGTGAGTTGTCTGAGAAGTTTTGGCACTTCTACCTCTCATGAATTATTTCCTTCTCATTTGTGGCGCACGAAACAATTACTAGCTCATTTGGCTCAGTGCCAGGAGAATTTGGGACAATATCGACTACGAGAGTTTGTGATCGATTCTGAAAAACAGATTTTTGAGATTATTGTACTTTATGTCTTTTTGTACGAACCATACAAATTGCGCTGTTTTCTACATAAACTGAATGAACTCTGTGTTGATGGCATCGGTCTGGAGCTCGTGGCCGGATTGTGCCAAATGTCGGATCAAGCAGAACGATATGGGATTGTGTACAAGTTGCCAGCACTGAAAAGGACTTGGTCTGATGGGTTACGGTAATAATTCAAGATTACTGTAGTATCAATATAAATGATATAAAAGAACGTTTCATCGAATTGTACCGAATTAACTCCGGAGAGTCTGGTATGAAAATTGATACCTCCTTTATTTTGGAGGAATGTCTTGTAGAAGGATTCGAGCT